GATTTTTCATAAATTTAAAACTATTATTTTGATAAAACGTATTCTTTAAGTAGAAATTTGTTCTTATGTATTGTTTTTGTTGTTATCATTTTTATTCTTGCACCAACAATTATGAGTGATGTTGGTTTTTTTTGCTTAATGTTGAAAGCTATTAACTCGAGTGATGTTTTACAGATAGAAAAAGTTGGCCATGGCCCCAATAAAGAAATCTAGGAGTGTGGGTAAGAGGTTTATGAACTATACTGAGGTGTCTCCTGATAAAGATGATGGGAACTCGAACAAATCTCGGCAACGGGTGAGTATGGCATCATTTACTTGAAATTTATATGCTTTTTAGAGTCCAGAGTCAGTAATTGGTGCTTTCTGTGCCTTTTGATAACAAGTTATACTGTAGCATCTTTTAAGGTCCTTATTTCATGTTTAATATATGCTACTCTCATTTTGAGCTGTCTTTGGTTGGTTGTTGATCATATTGGATGGTCAATGTATTATCACTTCGTTTCACTCATTGTTTGGCTTCAAACTCATTTGACATTTCTGAAGGAACCTTTGTTCTTGATGGGGATTTCTGCATATTCTTGCTAGCTCATTCATCTTTTCTCCTCTTTTTCTTTCCATATCATAAAATATCTTTAAAAGATACAAATGATTATATTTATATTTATACTAACTGATAAAAAAATTATATCTTGTATTGATGGAACTAGTTGTTTGTTCTCCTCTTCAGTGTATTCTTTCATTTTGGTTGTTAGCTTAAGTTTTTCTCAGTTGTTATGTTGCATACGTCTCCACTTGTGTCAGGCGTTTTACTGTAGTAATTGTGTGTGGCTTTCTTTTGAATAGAATGCTTGGTTTGGTTTTCAAAAACTTGTTTCATAAATTTTTTTCTAAAAAACAAAAAATTAATTTGGTGAAAGAAATAAAAAAAATCAAAAACACTTATCATTTTTACATAATTTTATCTTTTGGGAGGCTAGAAATAATTTTTTGAATTTTTTTTTATATTTATTTTTATCAAATTAGTTTCCATTTTTTAAAAAAAATTTATGAAAGTTTTTTTTTTCTCAAAAACGAACCAAACAAGCCATGTTCTAAATATTTTTGAGAAAATACAAACAATTGAAGCTCTCCCTTGATTTTGTTGAGTATTTTAATTAAGTGGTTTTGTGTCTTCTGGTATACTAATGGTGTTATCATTTGGCATGGATTGTTTGGATCCCAATAAGAAAGATCAGCAATCTTGCTAAAGGTTTACATGTAGCTATCCGTTGGTGCCTCTTTTAGTTTCCTCCATGCACTCATTCGCAAGATCTAGCTTTTCCATCAATCAATTAAAGTTTTTAATAATAACTTTTAAATCTTTACAATGGGTTGATATAGTGAATTTCCCTTTCCAACATTTTCTTCCAAGCCTCCTCTCTTTGATTTCTTGTACTCTCTCATCCATTATTTTCTATTTCTTTCATATAAATTGCCTTTTTAGTTTGAAAAGGCTTACCACACACACTTCTTAGCTTAATTGGGTTAGAATTTAAGGCCTTGTTTGGTTTGTGTTTCCCAAAAATTTTTGGAAAAAATTCTCTACAAATAAGTTTTCAAAAGTAATCAAACCAAACAAATTTTCCCAAAATTTTTTTTCAAAACTTGTTTGGTTTACAAGTTTTCCAAACAAATCTCTCTCTCATACACATCAAATCAATCACTTTTTCCAAAACTCTCTCTCAAAATAATTTTCCAAAACATCTTTTGAAAAAAACCAAACCAAACAACTTTTCATACTTTTTATCTTTAAAACACATCTCCCAAACTCAAACCAAACATACCCTAATTGTCTGGAAAGTTGGCATTGTGATTAAATTGTAATAGCACATTGAGTGGCACTACTTTGCCCCTGTAATATGTTTTGAAATCCAAATACCTTTGATACTTCATGTATTTCTTGTATTTCTGTGTTGGAAACAGTGTGGCTGTCATGTATCTGGTGGTTGTTACTCTGCTTCGCTCACTTTCAGTATCTTACTTTTTTCTCCTATACCAAAAGGAAAGAAATTTCAGAATCCAAACTGCTAGTAACAATTTATCTATTTAGAACTTTGAGCTTGTGAAAATATTAAATTTGTTGGCTATCAGGATTGCGTGTGCCAAACCAAAAAAAAAAAATAAAAATGAAGAAAATGCTTTTATTTGATCCCCGAGCTTGTCTTTTTGATTTTTCATAAATTTAAAACTATTATTTTGATAAAACGTATTCTTTAAGTAGATTTTTTTTTTTTTTTTTTTTTTTTTTTTTTTTTTTTTTTTTTTTTTTTGTGAAATTGCAAAAAAATGGAATCAAATGCACTGTTATTATAAGTTGAGCTTTTCTTTCATGTTGTGCAGCTATTTATTTGAACTTGGCATGCTTTCTTGTGATGCATAATTTTTCATTTGGTCTTCTATTTTTGTTTGTTTGTCTGTTATGATTATTTTAAATTGCCACCTGGATACAGGACACAAACACACTGACACACAAAATTTTGAAAATGAAGACATGGGCATGGCAATATATTTATATATATAAATTCTTACATATGCTACAACCCCAAGGGGTTGTCGTAGTGGCAAGGCCTTGGGTCTTGGGAGTGTGCTCCCTCCAAGGTTCAGGGATCGAGGTATTAACAATTCCTTAGGGCCATTGGATTGGGGGAAAACCCTTGAATTAACTGTGGTGCACTTGTAGGAAACTCCTTGCCAAGGGCCTGTGCACCCCTAGGGATTAGTCGGACTTTGATCTGAACACCCCAATGCCAATCAAAAAAAAAAAACTTACATATGCTACTATTACATATGCACATAAATTCAGTTAATATGGTAAATTTCTATATTGAGCCCTTAATTTGTGTTATCTTGGATAAGAAGACAGCGACCAACTTCATCGACATCCAATGTAGTGTAGAAGATGAAGCTTGACAAGTTCATTTTAATTATTATTATTATTATTATTATTATTTGTTTTTGACTTTGCCTTGTATTTTTGGCAAGTAAAATTTTATTGAAGAGAAACGGATAGTACAATGATTTCAATTCAAAAGGATATAACTCGGCATCAGTAATCAAGCTGTATCGCAATCTCCTAGTGTTTAGACCTATCTTTCGTTGACTGATCAATTAGGGTAATAGAAAAGCTAATGTTTTATCAGTAAATTTGCTATCTCTAGTCATTAGAATGGCAGTGTGGAGTCCCCATCGAAGGTACATTTCACCATGAATGACCTCTGGCTTTTATATCATCCATGAATCATGATTGCTTGTGTGATACTAGCAGCGGTGGTGGTTTTGTGATTGAAAAGTCTCTGATTTCTAAGATATTTTCTTAAGGACACAAGTGAAATGATTCCTTTTACAATGCTGCAACATCCAGTTTATTTCCAAACTCCACACGTCATTTCTCTGAAGCACTGGCTTCCACACTGGCAGAATAGGCACAACAAAAAACAAATTCTGTTGGGATTCTTAAACTGGATCAACTTCTATACGTCAACCTTAGTCTGTCTCCAGTGGCCAGTGGCTAATCTTCCTCTGCATAGCATCCTTGAAATAATTCTGCATTTGGGTATAGTTTGGGGAAACCATGCAATGTTTGGATATGAGCTTTAATAGCCTTACAGGCTGATGTGGCTGTGTTTTCTAGTCTTTGATGGTATCCATTGTATTTTATATAGAGAGATGTTGTCTGTGTAGTAGTGAAGATGGGGAGTTGTTTATAATCTCTCGTACTTCTATTATTCTTTGTTTCAGCCATTTCAAATTTTCTTCTTGAATAATATCAGGAGCTTTTGTTTGTAAAGGTCTCCCTACATTATATGCAATTTCCAAACTTCTAATGCCTCATTTGAAAACATGCTTTCTTAACAACTTTTTGGATTTTGGCTAAAATATGATGTAAAAAAAACTAGTATGTTTGGGATGATTTTTTGGTTTTTTATGAAAAGATGTGCAAAAAGTAGAAAGAAAATAGAATCTTTGACTTTTTGGTATAGGTTGTTGGCTTTTTGATTTTTTTAGTAACTTTTTGACTTTTTGGCTAAAATCACCACTTGCCAAACGAGGCCTAAGTTCTTGGTTAAAGAATCAAGAGGATGGCAATTTCCAAACCACAAGCAGGTGGATTTTCCATCACCAATAATATGTTTGATTAAAGGCTGCCCCATACCTCTAAGTTTCAACACGTTTCTAAAGGTCCAAGAGGCTTCTGAGGGTACTTGCATTCCCCATAAACTTCTCTCTTTTATAACATAGTTATGAATCCATTTTATCCACAAGGAGTTAGTGCTTTCTTACTTGGTCCATAACTGCCAAGTATTGAAGATTTATTCCGCTCTTTTAAACTTCTGATTCCCAACCCTCCTTTTTCTAGAGGTGCACAAACAAAGTCCAAATAGCCTTTGCACCACTTTGTTTAAGCTCAGGTCCACACGAAAGAAAAAAGAGTATATTCAATTTCATTCAAAATCTTTTGGGGCAATAGAATCAATGAGCTCCAATAATACTTCTCAATATTTCTCTTCATTCTCTGCAGTCTTTAGCTTTCAATTTTGTCTTGTCAATATTAATTGTACCCCCAAATACTTGACAGGAAGTGTACTCTCTGGAATGTTTAGGACTTTACAAGTGTTTCGGTCTTATATTAGAAAGTTCCCACGCCATGCATGTTTGAATGTGGTTGCCATGTTTATAAAATATCAAATTCTTAAATAAAGAAAGAAATATTAGACACTGGGTTGTGTTGGGAGTGTTTGGACCCTTGGACAAGTGTCCAAAGTAAGGAGATTTAAGTTATGGACATGTCCATGAGGTTTAGGACGTCTAGGAGTGCTCTTGTGGTGTCACTGTGTCAATGTTTAATGCGGACGTGACACCTCAAAAGTATCTGTGGTTTTTGGTTAAATATAATGAATATTGGTTCTCGTTAATGGTAACCGATAGTAATGCGTTAATGATTAGAATTACTTTGTGCTAAAGCATGTCATTGTGCCTTGGCATCTTCTTCTGATTTTTAGTTACTGTGAGTTTTCAGGTGGCAGGCGTAGTACGCAATAGATCTGTTGAAATGGTGGAGGCCCTTTACAACATGAATAAGGTATGTTTGGTCCTTATGTCATTATTAATAAATAAATACCTTGATGACTATCAGATGTTTTGTTATAAAACTTCTATGTTTTTCTAATTGTATAGCTATGAACATTTCTGATTGCACATTTTTGTTTATGAGCAAACTACCTTCGTGTCCTGCTTAGTTGCTCATCTTTTGCATAGTCAGTCCCAACCCCGGAGAAAGGATGAGGGTTGTGGTAGTTTGACATACAACATCGACTTATAGTCACAACTTATGAACATGGATTAGGAATCTCACCTGGATTTCCTTCGCTTCTTGCAAATTGTTAAAACTTGATTCTATCGAATTAAAAGGCATAGGTAATTTACAAGCCTCTGGACCTCTCTATTGAATTCAAAGGCATAAACATTCATGGGCTCTTAGACCTCTACTTTTGTTAAAACTTGTACCCCCGAATTGGAAATGTAAAGATTTTATTAGCATGACCGTTCTGGAACTAGTAGAGATCACACGAAGACCAAGTGACATATTTTTTTTTGATAAATAAATAAAATGGTGATTAAGACCCAGAAGAAACCCATGTGACTACCAGTAGAACCCATGGTGCAGTGCTTATGAAATTACAGAATGTAATAAACTCCTGTAGGATAAATAAATGTTACCTGTGGCATATTGACCTAAAATAACACTGAATTGAACCAACTAAAACTAGACTTGATTACATGTATTTCTAAGCATGCTCTATAAGAAAGTTGTCAATTTTCTATTTTAGATAAATATATATATATATATATATTTTCTTCTTGAATTTAGGTATCCAACACTGCAGTAAAAAAAAAAAAATGAGAAAAAGAAAAACTGCAGTAAAAATATGTATTTTTTTTTAATAAGTCTGCCATACAAAATGATTTGTCATATTTAAGTATCCAACACTTCAATGGTTCAAATACTTGGAGCTATAAATGTTTTAGTTACTTGCAAACATTCATATTCTTATTGTGGAGTATTAGTTTATGAACAAAGTTGAAATACTTTTGTAATATTGCCTTTGATTTTTGAACATTAACAATTTAGGATGCTTCTGTTTTTCAGGCATATCTAACTTTGCCAGAGGGGTCAGCTTCTGTAGCTGGCTTAATTGCAATGATGATTGATCACTATAATGTCCTGGTGAGCGAAGCAATTAGTTCTTTAGACAATTAAGAATTTTTTTTATGGCTTTTGTTTTGGAATATATCTCTAGAAGTTCTAAAATTTTTTGCCATACTTTTTTTTATTTTATATTTTATTTTTAATATATATATATTTTTAAAGTTTATGCCTTTCTTTGTTTAAAAGTGTTCTCTCTTTCGTCCATTATAACAAAAGTTTGCATATACTGTACATGCTTAAAATGATTATTGAGTGTATAATTGCAGATAGAAGTTATGTGGGATTAAGGATTTGATAAATTGGTGAGATGTAAAAGTACTGAAATTTTGATTGCTATAGTTTAGAAAGTAGAAAGGAGAAAATTTTGGATTGGGAAAAACATAGATGTAGCTGTGGATATAGTGAATAAATAAGGGGTGTCTATATGGACCTATAGAAGCAATACTATACTGATGCATCTTAATCAAACTGTAGTTTGGTGATTTCTGGCTTGTATTATCGACTTGTCACGTGAATTTTTGATTTAAATTCAGAAGGTATGTGGGTGGCATGTTTGTTTTATTGCTGCCCAAACATTCTTTCACTATCTTAAAAATTTGATTTATATATACATATTTTCTATGATCTGATGAAGATGACATGTTTCATCACCACCACCACATACCCCAAAAAAAGGGGCAAAACCCCTTTATCTTTTCCTGGTTTTGTGTTAGATCCTCCCAATATTTTAGTTATTTTTAAACAGTCCTGGACTTCAAATATGGTTTCATATCCCGTCTGTCCTTGAACAAATGCAATGGTAACATATTTACTGCGCACAAGTATACATAGAAGAATCCTCTTGCACATTACTTGTAGTTTAGTTTGCATTTGTCACTATTCCATCCTTTTTTCTCCATATTCAAGGTGTGGTACAATTCCATCCTATCCTAACTGTATTATGATGACAATATGATTTTAATGTTAGTGATTTATATGAATATGAAGTTTCAGTATCTTCTCTGGCAAGTTTAGTTTGACATCACAACACTTAATCATCTGGTCTAAAGTGGCATGGCTGCCTTCCATTTTTATTTTAGATTAAAAAAAAAAAATTAAATTTTTTTGCCCGAGTTCTAAAGAATTATTAATTGACAGGAAGGAAGTGATAGTGACCGAGAGAGCAATGATGCTTCAAGGTTGTCCCGGAAGACTCATACTCAGAAGCGTGGGCGAGGAAAAGTTCAGTCTAATGCATCGCAAGATCTTTTACTATCTCCGTCAATTGCCTCAAAAAATGTTGGATCTTTATCCTTATTTAAGAGAAGGCGCTCTGATGGTAAAACTTTTAGTCTTCTTTTGAAACTAGAAAATATTCTTGGTTATATTTTTTGTGTGTAGAAGTGCTTCTGTCTTGTTCTCCTTTCAATTATAGGGTTCAGAGAGGGGATTTTTCATATTTGAAAGGGTCAATAATTTGCAATGTAGTGATTTGCAGTTGCAGTTGCATTCAGGGACTCGTTGTTTTTAAGTCTTTCTTTCTTTATTTTTATTTTGTTAAACTTTTGTTATGTAAGTGCAATTTTTGATCATATTGAAGTGGAACATAACTAACAGAAGATAGAAGAAGGTAAGCAAAACGGACATAACAAATGCAAAAGAAGAGGTGAGAAGAAACATCGCTAAAAGGATTATAATTGCTTTATTTGGAGAACTAAAGGTTTGGAGGAAATGCTATCATAAAAGCAAGAAATAGGAGAATGATGTAGGAAAGAAGAAGAGAAAATTATTACAAGAGGTTTTACAATGAATATCCTCTTACATTTATCTTATGTCATATTATAAGGATGTGGCAATCACTTTCACTGCAACTGACTAATATTTTTATCTCCAATATGCCTTGTTTTGATAAGTTTGTTTCCTGGCTTTACTTAAACAATTGAACATATAGCACCTAATGCCCGTGGAAAAATGGTGCTTTTGCTTGCATTCATTAATGAATAACAAAACTGTCCCCTATATAGTTGTTTCTTGTTTTCTTAAACCTAGAGGGCACTGCTGTTTATTCCTGTCAGTTTTGATGTCTCTAGAAAGATCCACTTGTAGTCTTTATTGTACCTTTGCCAATGTTCTGGGGTTTTGAGATTTTGTTATTGTGGAAGTTTTTGTTAATGTTCATTGTTGAAATTAGGTGTCCTCAGCCCTTTATCGTACCTTTGCAAATGTTCTGATGGTACTATAGGTTGATTATGATGGTGGATATCAGGGTTTTGGTGGCAGGTTCTTGAAAATAATGGTTGATGGTGATAAGTTTGGCAATTTTTTATGAGAGTTTGAAGCCATAATCGGGTGGTGATGTGGTTGACAAAGATGGTAGGTTGCTGGATTTATCTGGTGATTAATTGGATGTCAATTGTCTTAAATAGCCAAAAAACCAAAAAGTCATTACAAAAAGTCAACTCATTCTCTCTACTTTTTTGCACATCGTATACAGCCAAAAAACCAGTAAAAAAACCAATTCCCAAACGAACCCTAAATAAGGTGATGGGTTGATCATCAGTGATGGGAACAACGGAGAGAGAGGTTTGGCTGTACAGTTGAAAATATAATTAATTTGTAGGCATAAAATTGTAGAAGAACGACTTCATTTAGCACCATGTTTTCTGTGTCACTTAGGGGGTCGGTGTTATATTTTTTGTTATTATCTTTATCTTTCCTAGTAAATTTATATTTAGAAAAACAAAATTATAAGATTTTTTGATCCATTTTTAATGCTGAAGAAGAGTATTGCTTGAGGGGTTGGAGCTTTTGGCATAGTTTAGCATTGTGCCTTCTTGCATTGTTGGGAAGGTTTTGTGTCCATATTTATACATTTCTGCAACCCAAGAGAGCTTTTTTTTTTTTTTTTTTTTTTTTTTTTGTGGTGGGATTGGTTTTTTTATTTTTATTTCTAAGAAATTTAAATTTGCAAGTCAATGTAACGGTAAATGAAATAAGGATTGTAATAGGTAGAGATTAAAGATCAATCCAAACTAGTTTTATTTATCAAGAATAAGATAATCAAGCAATATAATGAAGATAAACTAAAAGGAAAGAAGGAAGAGAGAAACAAACATAAGAGTTATGGTGGTTGGCTTGGCCTTGAACCTTCGTCCTCTTTCCAAGGTCTCCCTTGAGTCTCTTCACTATTCTCAAGATGCTTTACAACCAGCAAGCTTTCTGGGTACTTGCAATACCTTTTACAATTGATATGTTGTACCAAAAATATCCAAAAAATCTCTCCCAAAACTGCTCCTGTTTTCAGGTGCACTTCTTCCTTACAATGTTTATCCCCAACACTTGAATATAAGCTCTAAGGGTTCACCAAACCCTTTTACAAAGATAGAAGCAGTAAATACAAGCAAATGTTTGCCAAAATAACTCCAAGGAGTTAGGTTGAACAACGAATATCAAATACCATGAGATTTGAAAGTTAGGGCTCAAGCTCTTAAATAGTCTTTATGATCCTTGGCTCTTTGTTCTTGAATGTGTATTCAAATCTGAGTAGGAACCTTCCTTTTATACTCCTATAAATTCTTGAATGTGTTTGCAAATAGAGCCGTTTTAAAGCTATCCCGCGCTGTCAGAATTCAAAATCTTCAAACCAGGAGTTGATACCTTCAAGAGAGGAGTCGACACTTGATGCTTTGCCTTGTATAAAGGAGTTGACACTTCTTAACGAGGGGACAACACATGAAGCTCAAAGAAATGACCTGTGCATACTGAAAAAAGGAGTCGACACTACCTTGAGAGGAGTCCACACTTCTTCCTTTAAACAATTAAAATCTCCAGAAAAAAATCATCTACCAAGCCACAACAAAAGGTCAAGCATTCTTTAGACATGCTCAAAAGGTAATCAGCTTGTAAAATTTGGTAACATACTATTTTAAAGAACTTTTGATAAAATAATATTATCCCTTAAAAATCGTTGTTATCATCAAAATCAAAGCTAATATGAACTAATGAAATCATGGGGCTAACAATTTCGATTATGACAACTTTAACCGTTAATTAAAAGCGAGTAATTTAGAATTTTGTGAACAGATAGAGGATATCAAGTAGGTCACTTCCCTTGTCTGCTCTGGCATGCCCACGGTTAATCCCTTGGATGTTTCAGTTGAATTGATGTACTTGAAATCTGTTCTAAAGCACAGTCACAAGAAATTTTGGAATCTGTATTCTTGAGTCTTAGATTGGCACAAAACAAATTCACTAGTTTATAAATCAGCAGGGGCAATTTTTGATGCCTGGCGAACTCCTGTTACCTTCTAAGATAACTAGTAGGGTAGATATGAACTTCAACATTTTTGCAATGTCGCTTTATATTCCTCTTCCCCAGTTACAAACTATGTAGGTTTGACTATTGGACTGCAAGTATAGATTCAATTCATATCTAATTATCAAACTAGATGACTGCTCAGTTTTTCTCAGAATCATGTTTGAGTTGGTTATAATTTTCCCTAAGGCTTGCCATCTGCTTCTAATGAATTATATAATTTTTTAAAATTTTTGGTCGTTTAGGCTGCACAGTTCGTAAAAGGACACCTCGCTTCCCAGTTACATATTCATCTAGAAATGATGGCAATGATAACTATGTTTCACCTAATAAAAGAGGCCAAAAGTTGGAGTTGGATGATGATGTCGAACATGTGGTGGCATTAGCATTAACACAGGCTTCACAAAGGGGACGCTCGCCCCAAGTTTCTCGATCACCATTTAGGACTGATCACATGAAATCCTCACCTTTCCAAAGCTGGGTAAGGATGGTAGTCATTTCAATATTCTGGCATTGTGTTTGTTTCTTGTTTTATGCCGTTGTTGGAACGCTAACTAAATGATTCTTTCCTGTTCATGTAATATAGCTTTCGCAATCAGAGATGGGCCGAGCCAGGCCTCATGGTCCTGCAATTGAAGAAGACTGTTTGGAAGGTAGTTTAGGCAGCAGAGGAGCTAAAAATGGAGACTATGCCAGAAATACAAGTGCTTTGACAGATAAAGGTGTAGGTATTGCAGATATTTATCAGAAGGGGAAAAAAGTTTATAGAAGGAAAGGAAATGTTGAAGATATTAGAATCAACCAGTTTGATGATGGTTGGGAAGCATGTAGTGGCACTGAAGAAGGTCTTAATGTTAGTGATGTGAAGGGAGGAGTTGATATTGAGGTTACAAATTCGAAAATTGAGCATTCTTCGTCTCTGGGTAAAAGAAAGAGAAACAAAAAACTTTTCTTTGGAGGTATGTTCACTACTAAAGTATTGACAATGTCTTATGGTTTAATGTTGCTAGGGTTTGATCTCTTCATTTTAGAGTTCCAATTGTTGTCATAACATTGTTTAATTCTCTCATATTCTCAATGTCGGATGGACCTATATGACTATATACTGTTTTCTTTTTGAAATTGTCAAATTAAGAGTCGTTCATATGGTAGAATTGAATTGGTACTTGTTTTCATTTGGGAATATTTTTCTTAAATAAGGAAGTGTGTCATGCGTCCCTTGTTCTATGAAGGTTGCAAATGCATGTTTACCAGTTTGGGATAGGGGAATGGGTTCTAACATGGGAACTGGAACGACCATCTTTATTCAGTACAATTCTGGGAAGCATGATATGGTAACATTTGGATGAGATGTGGGAAAAATAAAGGGAAACGTAATATGGAAGTACAGTTGGAGAACGTTAACCTGAAACAAGTCAGCTACTCATTTGGAAAATATTGGGAAATAGATTTTGTGGTTCCCGGTTAGATGATATACAGAAGCTTCCTTTTTTGTTTTTTAATTGGATAAGCTTTTGATTGGGCATATCTGATTGTGGGAAAGTCTCATCCAAAATGGGTTTCTCTGAGTTTATAATGACAGTATTGTTCCTCCTTGATGCAGATTTCCCTTTCAAGACATAAACCGCTTGATGCAGTTTTCCCTTTTAAGACACAAATTTTGCTGTACTTGGGTGCAATGTCTTCTGATCAATAATTGCTTGTTTCGTTAACTCTTTCTTTTTTCATGTAGATGAAACATCAGCCTTGGATGCGCTGCAAACTTTGGCAGATTTGTCTCTGATGATGCCAGCATCAGCAGTAGAATCTGGTAAATAATTTTTGTTCCAGTCTTTATTCTTTTGAGTAACTGTGTCTATCTATATCTATATATGTGTATATTATATTTTTCTATTTTGTTTATGTTTTCTCCCTTAATAGAGTTGAATGGCGAAAAAGGATTTATTTAGCTGACCCCATTTGATTGGGACACTAGCCTTAGTTTAGTTTGGTTTGGTTTGATTTTGTATATGCCATCTAGTTATTTGAACTACAAGATATTGTTTTCATAGTGTTATTATTGTGCGATTTTCAATTCTCTTGTTCACTCTCTTGCCCACTTTTGATGGAGTTTTCATGTTTTGGTTTAGTGTCGGATAAAGAATCTGATGTTGAAGTTCAGTGTTGGATAAACAACTGCATGTGCTAGTTAGCCCCGTTTACATTGCTTCTTGTGTATCATGTTTGATTTTTTATAGTGGTGTTTTGCAATGTCGATGTTTCAAGGGCAAAGGGAGCTATATCCTAGCCCTAGATGTTAAACATCAAAGTTGAGAGATGAAAGCTATCATAACTAAGGATTCTTAGAAAAACTATGTTTAAGATTCTTTTAATGGTTTTAGTCACTCATACATGTTATGCAATTTAAAATTTGTTGTTAATGAAGATCCTTTTGCAACTACTTATGAAAATGGAGTAAGAGTTGGCATTTCTGGTAGGAGAGAGATTGTTGGCCATAGAAGTATATCTTAAATTTGTTCAACTGCTGGAGGAAGCAATCATTTAGGTATAGGAAAGAACAACCTTAATTTTCTTACCACACTGCCCGCCTAGTAATCAGCTGGAGAGCACCGACAGAATAGATGGTTTCAGTAACCTGTAACAGAAAGAAAAAGGCTCCGGCGGTGGCTCTTCCGACGATCAAGTCAATATATCTCTCAAAGATAAATCAAGTACTAAACTCACAAGCTTGAGTATCAAAAGCATACCTTAGACCCATGGGGGTGTCTCTCTTTTATAGCTAGTACAATCCAAGTCTCAAAAGGAGCCTGGCCCTAATAGACTTAGGATTACTGCTAATCTGGGACTCCCAATGGGATTAGGATAAACTCTCTAAGAGTCTTATCTTAATACAAACTGAAGTCTTCTCTCATTCTAGGACTCTTGCCCCTCATCCGCTTATCTCGAATTCCGATATCTTCGGAGGTAACCTCGGCCTATTCGAGATGACCTCGGCATAACAACCAGGACATGTGGCACTTCGGCTGACACGTCGGTGTCACCTTGGCCACGTGTTGGTACTCTGAAAATATATCTCCACAAATGCCCCCTAGGTTCTTTTACCTTGGCATTCTGAGGTGATGGAACTTACACTGTTCGTTCATCTGTGCCCCTCTGTCCGAGATCAAACTCGCCGACCTCAAAGTTCCCTGGACTTTACTGTCCACTTCTGTCAAGTATCAAGCTTCATGATTTCCAAGCTGCTCGAGATCACACCTCCTAGCCGAGGTTCTTGTTCCATTAATTCGTAAACTCCAAAAGCTTTGCAACTGCTCCACTCACATTCTTTGATGGGTTCCCGACTTCCAGTCATCTATTTGACTTCGGCGATCTTCATATCGACGTTCATTTCTCTTGGTAGGTTCATAAACTCTTTTATTAAGCTCAATCTCTCATAACTCTTCTGAATCCGTTTACTTGCCCTCTGTTGTCTTCTATTTTCATCTGTTTTCAAGTTTTGAATTGTTTGAACGCCTAGCACTGTTCTTGCCATATCCGCTTTCTATTGCTAGCATCATGTCTAGGTCATTACTTTCTTGTTCTTCACATACTTAGTGCCTGTGCACTTGGCTTTATTCTTGAACTTTGTCGTCTTCTTGACTCTGAGTTTTCTCTTTTTTCATTCAATCCTCTGGCTTTTTCTCTTTTTAGCTCTTTTGCTTAAATCCGTCATTGTTCCAAGCTTTCAAGCTCTGCAACTGTTTTCGTTCCTCTCCTCCGGTGAAGCTTACGTCATTCTGTCATTTTCGCATCCGTCGTCAGACTTCGGCAATTCTCATTCCGGCTTTCCTCTTTCTGGTAAGCCACTGTTCCTCCTAGTTTTATTTCTTGTTGCTTTCCAAGAAGCTCTACTTCATTGTTAATCACCATTGCTGTTTTACCCGTTATTTCCAAACCATCTTCTTGAATACACACTGTTCACAAATCTGTTGATTTCTGCCACTGTTCTTGGCTTGACACATCTGTGCAATCTTTTTGTTTTGATTTCCTGATAGCTTCATCACCATTCTTGATTACGAATTACATTCTTGTTTCTGTTTTCTGTGTCTTTTTCCAGATTCTTGCTTTCAATCCTTGCCTTCAAACTCCGAGGTGCCAATCGCCGAGAAGAGCTTTGATCAAACTCTTCGGGAGATTGATGTTGAGCTCGAGGCCGAGAAGGCTGCTGAGAAGTCTTACCAACTGTCTTCTATATCCTGCCATTGATGCCGTGTAGTTTTGTTTCCTTCTTTTACTCCTTGTACCTTGTACTTTGTCCTTCTTTGTATGCTTTTAATCCGGCCGACGTGCCATTTTTGTAGTCTGAATAATTTATTTTTCAATATTCAGGCCGAAGTGCCTTCTTTCTTCTTTAAATGCATTTCTCTAATTTCTTCTTTGATTGAATGTCTTCTTTTTTCTGCTCTTGTGTGATTCTACACTTAGAATAATTTGCATGTCTTCAAAGTACACCTTGACTGTGCAATCTCTTCAGGTAAAATACCTTTGTCATAACTTCTAATCTTGCTCATCTCGGCCTTGTCCTAACACTTGAAAATATTGTAACAAATATTTTCACAAGTGTTACTTAGGACTTGTCACTTTCTCAATGTCTTCTATCAAGACTTCAGCTTTCCACATTTCAAGTTTTGACAACCTGGTAGTCTTGGCAAGTACGCAAATATTGCTTGAGCTTGACTTTAACTTGTAAATTTTTCTCAAAAATTTCAACAAGTGTTTTAACCATCATCCTTTATCATAACCTCGGTTTAATTTCAGCTTGTAAATTTTTCTTAAAAATTTCAACAAGTGTTAAACCATCTTCCTTTCGATACGACCTCGGTTTAACTATAACTTGTAAATTCACACAGAATTTCAACAAGTGTTAAACATCATATCGGTTTAACTTCAACTTGTAAATTCCCACAGAATTTCAACAGGTGTTAAACATCATATCAGTTTAATTTCAACTTGTAAATTCACACAGAATTTCAACAAGTGTTAAACATCATATCGGTTTAACTAACTTGTAAATTGCTACAAATTTCAACAAGTGTTAAATATCACATCGGTTTAACTTCAACTTGTAAATTCACAGAGAATTTCAACAACTGTTAAATATGACCTCGGTTTAACTTTAACTTGTAAATTCACACAGAATTTCAACAAGTGTTAAACATCATCTCGGTTTAACTTCAATTTGTAAATTCACACAGAATTTCAACAGGTGTTAAACAGTGATCTCGGTTTAACTTCGACTTGTAAATTGTCCACAAATTTCAACAAGTGTTAAACAATGATTTCGGTTTAACTTCAACTTGTAAATTCACACAGAATTTCAACAAGTGTTAAACATCATCTCGGTTTAACTTCAACTTGTAAATTGTCCACAAATTGCAACAAGTGTTAAACAATGATCTCGGTTTAACTTCAATTTGTAAATTGTCCACAAATTTCAACAAGTGTTAAACAATGATCTTGGTTTAACTTCAACTTGTAAATTCACACAGAATTTCAACAAGTGTTAAACATCATCTCGGTTTAACTTCAACTTGTAAATTATCCACAAATTGCAACAAGTGTTAAACAATGATTTCGGTTTAACTTCAACTTGTAAATTGTCCACAAATTTCAACAAGTGCTAAACAATGATCTTGGTTTAACTTCAACTTGTAAATTGTCCACAAATTTCAACAAGTGTTAAACATCTTTGTCTTTTCTCTGCCCCCTAATTGTGTGTTTCTTTTTTATCTTCTAGGATCTGAGATTTTGCTCACTGAACTCTTCTCTTCTCGGATTTAAGTGCCGAGCTCTTGTCCTCTGGAATCTTGGATCTTCTCACTCAAGTTGAGCTCTTCTCTTCTCGGACCTATTCATCTAGGCCGAGATCATGTCTTCTGGGATTTGGGATCCGGGATTTGCTCACTTAGGTTGAGCTCTTCTATACTCGAATGTCATCTCCTTGGGAACGCTCATGCCCCCTGTCTTGCGTCCCTTCTGGAAGGGTCTTCATTCTGTTTATGTCGACACATTCTCCATCTTTACTAAACTCGTCGTTTTCGCTACGTTGATCTTGTACGATGATGGCCATCTATTCTCCTTTCTTTCCCACAGACAACGCCAAATTGTGTGAGTGATTTTCTGACCACACTGCCTGCTTAGCAACCAACTGGAGAGCACCGGCAGAATAGATGGCACCTGGTTGACCTGCAACAGAAAGAGAAGATTCCGGCGGTGGTTCGTCCACCCGGGGGCACTCCGACGATCAAGTCAGTATATCTCTCAAAGATAAATCAAGTGCTAAACTCACAAGCTTGAGTATTAAAAGCATCCCTTAGACCCATGGGGGTGCCTCTCTTTTATAGTCAACATAAACCTAGTTCCAATAGAAGCCTAACTTCTATGGACTCAGGATTACTGCTAATCTTGTACTCACAGTAAGATTAGGATAAACTCTCTAAGAGTCTTATCATAATACAAACTGAAGTCCTCTCTCATTCTAGGACTCTTGCCCCTCATCCGCTTATCTCGAATTCCAATATCTTCGGAGGTAACCTCGGCCTATCCGAGATGACCTCGGCATAACAACCAGGACATGTGACGCCTCGGCTGACACGTCGGTGTCACCTTGGCCACGTGTTGGTACTCAGAAAATATATCTCCATACTTTCTATTCACACAAAGCTCTCCTTGTGAGTTGTCCCTCATCTGTGCAACGGACACTGTTACAGATATCATATATATATTTATTTATGGTTATGGTTGCATTTTTAATTTTCTCTTTCACTGAGG